CATGAATGTTGTAAGTACTTTAAAATCCATTAGTAACATTTTTAAAATTAATTATCGTTAATCCGATAACAATGACTTTTTTTAACAAAAGGAAGAATTGCAGGTGATAAGGATACGATAATTAAGCAGGAGAGAAAGAGACAACAATAGCATAAGGGTTTAGACGCAGCGCACAAGCGCCACTGCATGCACTCATGACCGTCAGTCTACCTCAGAGATCAGCACAGAGCAGACGTCTACGCAAACATGAATCCAAAACTACTTGACGTTGACGATATCCTTTCAAGGAACGACCAGTGGAGGAAGTTGGAAGAGCTTTGGGGTAATCCTGTGGATTTGGACACCGACGAGGACATACCAACTTCGAAATTGAGACCCGTGTTCAGTACACTAGACTTACGAAAGTCAACATTTGATTCGTCGTTTCTATTCAAGACAGTCAAGCGGAAGGTAGCGAGGCAGATGTCGAAGAGTTCAGTGTTGGACTACAACGAGTTCCTGCAAGACTTGCAACACAACGCTGTCGAGGATATACCCAGGAAGCAGTTTTACTATGTCAGCGGACAAGTCCTCTCGGCAATGTCTGTGGAAGACATATGCACCAAGATCGACGACATTTTCAAATCTATCGAGAGACTGTGTTCGGCGACAAGCACCATTCGCCTTAAGAGAAATGTGGACGAAATAGTCCAGTGCAGCTTTTCCTGTGGAGACTTATCGTTCGATGATACTGTGGATCCCGACCAAGAGAAACACGCAAGCAGTGATGTGGACAAATATATAGAAGAGGCTTTCGAGCAGTTGAATAGTACTATAGTCAGTATTGTCAATAAAAACGCTACTATGGATGAGGCTGCGAAAGATTCTGTGACTGCGCTAGTGAAGATATTTAGCAACATTTTAAAGGCTCCAGGTCATAGACAGTCCAGGAGACGACGGGAATCTAATGACAAATTTAAAGATTTGGCGGAGTTTTGGAGGAGCAAAACTTGTAAGGAGGGTGAACAATTATAAGCACTTTGGTACTTTTAAGTTTTAATTAAAGATTGTATAGCTATAAGATATAAGTAATAATTGTTTTGTTTAATATACTGCTAAATTTGAGATTTCAATTTTGTTGTTTAAAATTATTTTGTGCTTAATATATTTTCAAATTGCAGTTAAATGTTTATGTAATGATAGTTGTAGGTATGTAAATAAATTCCTTTTACAGTACATCATACTTTTTTATTTTGATCAGATTGTCCATATATCATATTTTTGAGCAATGCGGTTTTCAGTAATCGCCTTAAATATCAGCTCAGTCTTTACGAGGAGCAAATTTAGAAGGTGGTGTCGACCTAGATATGCTATCGGGCATTGCTTACACCTAGTCGATGGACTAAATATTCCTACTGTAGAAGCACCTGATGAAATATCTTCAAATCCATACCAATATTTATTTTCTGAATTTCTGCTTAGTTCTAAATTGACGTTTTTACCCAATAGAACGATCCGGGGCACGTTATCTCATAATCCGATGCGTAACCAAACTTTTCTTCTTTAAATAAAAATCTGCCATAGAAGCGCACGATTCTTGAAACACCATATATTTTGGCCCAAAACAGTTTTTGCTTAGTGCAATTAACTAGTCTTTCCATTTGCACCCTCCTATACTTACATTGTTGTATATAGCTAGAAATTTTAATAATAATACAAAAACATTATTATAGGTAATTTATGATTATTTGAGAATGCAGATTTATAGAACTAAGGATTCCATAAATCACAGTGTTTGAAGTTTTGTTCTACGAAAAATATTGACGAAGTTATGACCAAATTACTAAACGAATTGTCGCCAGGCCGCGTGGTGACCGTGAAAAGTTTGACCGGAGTGAACCACGATCGAGCTCTGTGACGGCACACGTTTCGGTCGCCTGTGAATATTGGCTGCCATAGAATTAGTAATAAAATCGTAACGAATGAACCGATTTCGATGGTTTAAAAAGTATATTAATTGAAAAGCTTAATAGATCATTATACTGTTAATTTTGAGTTCATTTGCTGACCTAGTAATGATCCTCATTAAGTAAAAACTCCATTGTATCCAATTAATAGCTTTCGCTTTCCGAAATACACATTTCATTTAATGCGCAGTGAGAAAATTGTTAATTTAAAATACAAACTGTATAAAGATTAAATAGCTACATGAAGGTTGTATGTATTTTAAAATCCATTAGTTTTGAGTTGATTTGCTGACCTAGTAATGATCCCCATTAAGTAAAAAATCCATTGTATCCAATTAATAGCTTTCGCTTTCCGAAATACACATTTCATTTAATGCGCATTGAGAAAATTGTTAATTTATAATACAAACTGTACAAAGATTAAATAGCTACATGAATGTTGTAAATACTTTAAAATCCATTAGTAACATTTTTAAAATTAATTACCGTTACTCCGATAACAATGACTTTTTTTAACAAAAGGAAGAATTGCAGGTGATAAGGATACGATAATTAAGCAGGAGAGAAAGAGACAACAATAGCATAAGGGTTTAGACGCAGCGCACAAGCGCCACTGCATGCACTCATGACCGTCAGTCTACCTCAGAGATCAGCACAGAGCAGACGTCTACGCAAACATGAATCCAAAACTACTTGACGTTGACGATATCCTTTCAAGGAACGACCAGTGGAGGAAGTTGGAAGAGCTTTGGGGTAATCCTGTGGATTTGGACACCGACGAGGACATACCAACTTCGAAATTGAGACCCGTGTTCAGTACACTAGACTTACGAAAGTCAACATTTGATTCGTCGTTTCTATTCAAGACAGTCAAGCGGAAGGTAGCGAGGCAGATGTCGAAGAGTTCAGTGTTGGACTACAACGAGTTCCTGCAAGACTTGCAACACAACGCTGTCGAGGATATACCCAGGAAGCAGTTTTACTATGTCAGCGGACAAGTCCACTCGGCAATGTCTGTGGAAGACATATGCACCAAGATCGACGACATTTTCAAATCTATCGAGAGACTGTGTTCGGCGACAAGCACCATTCGCCTTAAGAGAAATGTGGACGAAATAGTCCAGTGCAGCTTTTCCTGTGGAGACTTATCGTTCGATGATACTGTGGATCCCGACCAAGAGAAACACGCAAGCAGTGATGTGGACAAATATATAGAAGAGGCTTTCGAGCAGTTGAATAGTACTATAGTCAGTATTGTCAATAAAAACGCTACTATGGATGAGGCTGCGAAAGATTCTGTGACTGCGCTAGTGAAGATATTTAGCAACATTTTAAAGGCTCCAGGTCATAGACAGTCCAGGAGACGACGGGAATCTAATGACAAATTTAAAGATTTGGCGGAGTTTTGGAGGAGCAAAACTTGTAAGGAGGGTGAACAATTATAAGCACTTTGGTACTTTTAAGTTTTAATTAAAGATTGTATAGCTATAAGATATAAGTAATAATTGTTTTGTTTAATTTACTGCTAAATTTGAGATTTCAATTTTGTTGTTTAAAATTATTTTGTGCTTAATATATTTTCAAATTGCAGTTAAATGTTTATGTAATGATAGTTGTAGGTATGTAAATAAATTCCTTTTACAGTACATCATACTTTTTTATTTTGATCAGATTGTCCATATATCATATTTTTGAGCAATGCGGTTTTCAGTAATCGCCTTAAATATCAGCTCAGTCTTTACGAGGAGCAAATTTAGAAGGTGGTGTCGACCTAGATATGCTATCGGGCATTGCTTACACCTAGTCGATGGACTAAATATTCCTACTGTAGAAGCACCTGATGAAATATCTTCAAATCCATACCAATATTTATTTTCTGAATTTCTGCTTAGTTCTAAATTGACGTTTTTACCCAATAGAACGATCCGGGGCACGTTATCTCATAATCCGATGCGTAACCAAACTTTTCTTCTTTAAATAAAAATCTGCCATAGAAGCGCACGATTCTTGAAACACCATATATTTTGGCCCAAAACAGTTTTTGCTTAGTGCAATTAACTAGTCTTTCCATTTGCACCCTCCTATACTTACATTGTTGTATATAGCTAGAAATTTTAATAATAATACAAAAACATTATTATAGGTAATTTATGATTATTTGAGAATGCAGATTTATAGAACTAAGGATTCCATAAATCACAGTGTTTGAAGTTTTGTTCTACGAAAAATATTGACGAAGTTATGACCAAATTACTAAACGAATTGTCGCCAGGCCGCGTGGTGACCGTGAAAAGTTTGACCGGAGTGAACCACGATCGAGCTCTGTGACGGCACACGTTTCGGTCGCCTGTGAATATTGGCTGCCATAGAATTAGTAATAAAATCGTAACGAATGAACCGATTTCGATGGTTTAAAAAGTATATTAATTGAAAAGCTTAATAGATCATTATACTGTTAATTTTGAGTTCATTTGCTGACCTAGTAATGATCCTCATTAAGTAAAAACTCCATTGTATCCAATTAATAGCTTTCGCTTTCCGAAATACACATTTCATTTAATGCGCAGTGAGAAAATTGTTAATTTAAAATACAAACTGTATAAAGATTAAATAGCTACATGAAGGTTGTATGTATTTTAAAATCCATTAGTTTTGAGTTGATTTGCTGACCTAGTAATGATCCCCATTAAGTAAAAAATCCATTGTATCCAATTAATAGCTTTCGCTTTCCGAAATACACATTTCATTTAATGCGCATTGAGAAAATTGTTAATTTATAATACAAACTGTACAAAGATTAAATAGCTACATGAATGTTGTAAGTACTTTAAAATCCATTAGTAACATTTTTAAAATTAATTATCGTTAATCCGATAACAATGACTTTTTTTAACAAAAGGAAGAATTGCAGGTGATAAGGATACGATAATTAAGCAGGAGAGAAAGAGACAACAATAGCATAAGGGTTTAGACGCAGCGCACAAGCGCCACTGCATGCACTCATGACCGTCAGTCTACCTCAGAGATCAGCACAGAGCAGACGTCTACGCAAACATGAATCCAAAACTACTTGACGTTGACGATATCCTTTCAAGGAACGACCAGTGGAGGAAGTTGGAAGAGCTTTGGGGTAATCCTGTGGATTTGGACACCGACGAGGACATACCAACTTCGAAATTGAGACCCGTGTTCAGTACACTAGACTTACGAAAGTCAACATTTGATTCGTCGTTTCTATTCAAGACAGTCAAGCGGAAGGTAGCGAGGCAGATGTCGAAGAGTTCAGTGTTGGACTACAACGAGTTCCTGCAAGACTTGCAACACAACGCTGTCGAGGATATACCCAGGAAGCAGTTTTACTATGTCAGCGGACAAGTCCTCTCGGCAATGTCTGTGGAAGACATATGCACCAAGATCGACGACATTTTCAAATCTATCGAGAGACTGTGTTCGGCGACAAGCACCATTCGCCTTAAGAGAAATGTGGACGAAATAGTCCAGTGCAGCTTTTCCTGTGGAGACTTATCGTTCGATGATACTGTGGATCCCGACCAAGAGAAACACGCAAGCAGTGATGTGGACAAATATATAGAAGAGGCTTTCGAGCAGTTGAATAGTACTATAGTCAGGGAATGTGATATGAGCTGGACCGTTAGATGATAATTCGAATGTTCCCAAATCGTGCACGGACCCATAACCTCACCGTAAAGAGTCGCTTCCCTTATCGTGGGATAAGTGAAACGAACCTTGCCTGGCCACCGAGCCAGCGGGGACCGCCCTACTAACCGCAGCAGGGCAGCGCGCTCGCGCGCGCTGCTCAGGGTCGCGCGTGCTCATACCCAGCTGCGCTGCCGCGTCGCGCTCGCGATACGTCGCGAAAACATGGCAGACGATCCGCCACAGCGCACGACGCCAAAACAGAAACCGAAACCGCCGACTCCCTCACCACGACACACAAAAAGCGATGAGCAGTTTGTAACGCCCGCTCCGCTTACCCGCGCCACTGGCCGACAACTACCCCCCGCAAGTCGTGCCGCAGCACCCGAGGGGGCCGCCAGTGATTCGGCCGAGAAAGTCCGGAAATCACGACTAACCAAATATGAATTTGATATAGTCATGATTGCCCGGATAATCCAGACCGGCCACCTGTCGGACAGGCTGAATCGCTGGCTGGCCACCTACGCTCGGTTGCTGGAGCACGAATCGGGACAGACACACGCCCTGTGTCCTGCCGACCAGATGGCGTCGGAGGCGCTGCGGGCTATCAGCGGCTCGCCCCTTCAGATGCCGCAAGTCGACCCACCGTGGCAACGCAAACGCGCCCGAGATGCAGCTACACCGCCAGAAACGCCCGACAAGCGCGCCTGCCGCCTACGCGATCCGCGACTAACGCGATCGCACAGCAGCGGAGACACGCCGGCCCCCATAGCAAATCCGCAACCAAGCCCCACCGAATCGATGACCGAAAAAGAAACCCAAACACCACTACCCACACAGGTGATATCACAAACACCCTCCACTCAATCACAGATGGAGCCGAGACAGCTGTTCACCTGTCCTACTCAGACGCCAAACGTGGGGGTATCCGACAAAAAAAATTTGTCAACCTACCCTCCCACCACCACCTACGCACAAGCGACCACTTCTGCCTTTGGCCAACCCACCACCTCGACAGCCGCCCGCCCTGCAACCATGCCGCCCGCCCAAGCCGATGCAAACCGCCCACGCCCGAGAGCTGCCGCCACAACAGACGGAGCCGCTCCCACCGCCCCGAGGGAACGTAAGTACCCTCCACTGGTAGTGGAGCACTTGCCCGACTGGCCGACGCACTTCCGGGCCATACGCGAAAAGCTGGGAAGAGCACCTAACGCCCGCCCCTTCGGCGTAGGGGTGCGTTTCACCCCCGACAACGCAGACGAGTACCGACTAATTCAAGCATACCTCACCGACTTAGAGGGGTTGGGGGGTCTGAGTTGGTACTCGTATGCACTCCCCGAAGAACGAAGCCTAAAACTCGCAATAAGAGGCCTACCATACAACACGGAGCCGGCCCACATCGTTGAGGCCCTAGCGGAAAGAGGCTTCCGATGCGAGCACGTCAAGCGCATCCGAGCACGCGCCGGCCGCCCAGGTTGTATTTTCTTCGCAGCTCTGAACCGGACGCCCGACACCATCCCCAGGATCTACGAGACCGACGAGCTCCTAAATATGACAGGTGTGACCATAGAGGCGTGGCGAGGCAAGAAGGGGCCCGCCCAATGTCACCGATGCCAGGGCTTTCGGCACTCTTCAAAGGGCTGTCATCGCCCACTCGCTTGCGTTCGCTGTGGCGCCGCACACGCCGCCGCTGACTGCCCGCGCCCAAGGTCGGAGCCCGCGACCTGCGCCAACTGCGGTGGCCCACACCCAGCAAACCATAGCTCCTGCCCGGCCCTAAGGAAAGAGGCCCGGAACAAAACAGCGACAACGGTGGCCAAGACAGGCCCCACTACCAACGCCACAATAAAAAAACCGGAGGTAAGCGAACACGCGCCAGCCACGCTTATGGCCCCCGCTAATGCGCCAACCGCCCGGGACGGCACCACCACCACCTCTAACCGCCGCCGTAAGAAGAAAAGGGGCCAACGCTCCACTTCTAAAGGTGGCCCTGCAAGCAAACCCGCGGAGCCATCCGAGAAACAAACAGCGCCGGTAAACAAACCGACAGAAATGAACGCTGTGCAACGTATGCTCGCCTTGGCCGAGCAATTCCAACTTGGCCTCCTTAATATAATGAACCAAAATTCACAGGCCTAAGGTTCATGCACTGGAACGCGAACGCAATCGGAAGAAAACGACGCATGCTGCTACACTTCCTCCGAGAAAATAAGATCGACGTCGCGTTACTGAGCGAGACAAGGCTTGCCCCTACCACGAAGTTCCGTATCCCCAACTACGTAATTTACAGGCAGGATGAGACATCACCGACTAGCGGGGTGGCCATTAGAGGACTAATGGTCCTAGTACACAACCGCATCGTACACCAGCCTGCACCCCCGGCGCATCTTACGAGATGAGATTGTATGCGGTTTACAAACCGCCGGGCGATACACTCGAAATAGGTGAGTTTAGACAGCTCCTGCGCCCGCTACCTACCATCCTGGCGGGCGATCTAAACGCTAAGCACACCGCCTGGCACTCAACCACCATAAACCACGCTGGCCGCACTATACACCGAGACGCAACCGAGCACGAATACGACGTGTCGGGCCCCTCCGAGCCGACGCGACACGATCCCGCGGGTAGAGTCGACGACGTCTTAGACATTATAGTACATCGCGACGTCGACGGCCTCATTACTCAGGAGGTAATGCTTGATCTGCCATCCGACCACCGCCCCGTCTTATGCACACTAACCAACCTACCTACACGAGTGACGCCTCCTTCACCACGCCTTACCACCAATTGGGACGCCTTCCAATGCGCAGCGGCACAAAACACCACATCGCAGCCAATAAACACCCCGGACGACGTAGAAGCGACGACTAGAGAGCTCACAGAGGTAATCCAATCAGCGCTAAAAACATCCGGCCGCACCCGCCCGACCGCAGAGGGGAGCCCCCCCCTCCCGCAAAGAACGAAGGAGCTATTGGCACAAAAGCGCAGATTGCAACGACTCTGGCAGCTCACGCGCTGCCCCATAACGAAAACCAGCCTGAACGCCTTGACAGCGCAAATCAAGCGCGAACTCGACGATCAGGCGGCCGCCTCGTGGGACCGACACCTATTAAGCGTGGGCGGTGACATGAAAGCCGTGTACCGCCTGTGTAAACAACTCGCCCCACCGACCTCGAAATCTTTACGCCCTCTCATAGACGAGAATGGACACCCACGATACCGCGCTGAAGATCGCGCTGAGTTGCTGGCCGGCCACCTCGCGCGCCTTTTCACGCCCAATGACACGACAGACAGCGAGCACACCGCGACCGTGAGGTCGCACGTGATTAACTGTCTGTCGCTGCCGCTAGACACACACACGGACCCTATATATTTCTCTCCAAAGGAGGTACGGAGGGAAATATATAGAGCAAAGCAAAGAAAAGCCCCCGGACCAGATCAAATAAACAACGCTACCCTGCGCCACCTACCCCCAAAGACGATTGTTGCGATTACCCGCCTCTTCAACGGAATATGCAGAACGGGGCACTTCCCCTCAAAGTGGAGAGAAGGTAGGGTGATCATGATCCCTAAAGCGGGCAAAGATCCCTCGCGCCCAGAAAGTTACCGGCCCATCACATTACTCTGTACGCTGTCAAAAATATTCGAGCGCCTCATTTTACCGAAGTTACAACAATATCTGCAACCTCGCCCAGAGCAGTTCGGCTTCAGGACAGAACACTCCACCACCCTACAGCTAACCCGGGTACTTCACCACCTCGCTGCATGCGCCAACAAGCGTGAGTACACCGCAGTCGTGCTACTAGACGTAGAGAAGGCCTTCGATAGAGTCTGGCATGAGGGCCTTCTCTACAAACTCGAACAAGCCCAACTGCCTCTACGACTGCTCAAAATCATTGCCTCTTTCCTCACCGATCGCCGCATCCAGGTCGCAGTCGAAGGCGTGCTATCTGCCCCGCGCCCGGTCCTCGCAGGTGTACCACAAGGCAGCTGCCTCTCGCCGCATCTTTACTCGGCCTACACCAACGACGTGCCGATAGTGGGCGATGTCAAGCTCGCGTTATTCGCGGACGACACCGCCTACCTCAGCTCATCTATCCGCCCCCGTCATGCAGCCGCCAAATTACAGCCCACCTTGGACGCCCTAGCACCGTGGCTGGAGAGATGGCGCATACGCGTGAATGTAGAGAAAACGCAAGCCCTACTCGTCGGCTCACAACGCTCCAACTCCCCACCACTCTCCATACTAGGCAGGCCGGTCTCGTGGTCATCCGAGGCCAAATACCTTGGTGTCACGATTGACCGCCGCCTCAATTTACGCAGCCATATTAACAAAATAATAACGCAAGCAAGAACGGCTAGAGCGAAATTACGCCCTGTCCTTAGAAGCCGCCTACCGCTACACACAAAATGTAACATATACAAAATCTATATACGACCTTTGCTTACATATGCTGCACCCGCCTGGTACGCGCTGGTGGCTGAGACGGGGCGAAAGCGCCTGAGCGCCCAGCAACGACACACCCTGCGCACCATCACCAACGCGGGCCACATGGTTCGCAACTCTACACTGCACCGCGATCTCCGCATAGAACCCCTTGAAGATTTTATCAAAAGACTCGCCAATAACATGTACAACAGAGCGACGCACTCGACGCACGAACATCTGCGCGACTTGGCGCCTGAGTTCGAGCGCACCCGTACCCGCCGCGACAGAGCGCTGCCCCGAGAACTGTCAACAGAAGACGCACCCCAAAGTTCCCGCCCGCGACTACCGCGAGCGGTCGAGCTGCCGCCTCCCAGCTAACGTCGGCCCCGCCCGCACACCTGCGGGCGGGCCCCTACCTAACCGGACTACGCCACCCTTACCCCTTCCGACACCATCCCTAGATTGGATTAGAAAAAAAAAAAATAAAATATATAAAACAGAAAAAGGAAAAAAAAAAAAAAAAAAAAAAAAAAAAAAA